GATGACAGTGTTGTCCTCTCTTGTTTCTGGTTTCTCCCTGTTGGTGTTGGGCCTCTTCCTTGTTTTGGTGAAGGCCCACTTGGGGTATCCACAAGCCTTAAGGGAGTTCTGGATGTGTAGTTTCTCCTTCTTGGCCCCTTCTGCAGTTGTGGGCACTTCCTCTGCCCTGTTCTGATGACTCCCAGTTTGTGTTGAAGTGGATGGTGTGAGTCAAAAAGCAGGTATTGGTCCGTGTGTGTAGGTTTCCAATATACATCTACCTTCAGGCTTCTGTCCCCTCCCAAGTGGATTGCACAATCCAAAAAGGCCAGACAGTCATCTCTGGCATCCTCACGAGCGAACTTGACGTTGATATCCACCTAGCTGATATTCTTGGTGAAAGCCTCTACCTCCTGGGTTCTGATTTTAACCCATGTGTCGTCCAAGTAGCGGAACCATTGGCTGGGAGCGGTACCAGTGAAGGAAGACAGGGCTTTCTCCTCAATTTCTTCCATGTACAGGTTGGCAACTATAGGAGACACTGGGAAGCCCATCACACAGCCATGTTTCTGCCTATAGAAGTGCCCCCTAAACTGGAAGTAGGTAGTGTTTAAACAGAGTTCCGGCAGAGTGCATACATGGTCTGCAGTGAGGTTAGTCCTGTTGTTTAGCATGTCATCCTTCAGCAGTCTCCTTTTTACCACCCTGACAACCTCTGTGGTGGGGATACAAGTGAACAAGGATGTGACATCATATGACACCTTGGTCTTGTCCTGGTCCAGCTGCAGTTGTTGGACTTTCCTTGTGAAGTCCTGGGAGTTTATTATGTGGTGCTGTGTGTTTCCCACCAAAGGAGCCAGGATGGTGGCCACGTGCTTGGCTATGTTGTAAGTCACAGAGTTGATGCTGCTGACAATGGGTCTGAGTGGGGCTCCTTCCTTGTGTATTTTGAGTAGGCCATAAATTGTGGCAAAAGGTCGCAAAGTTCAAGGGGGCCGAATACTTTCACAAGCCACTGTACACCTGCCTTTGCCTGCTAGAAGGATTGTGATGGTTTCATCCTCCTCTAGTGCAGCTAAAGCCCTCCTTTCCTCGGGGGTAAGGTTCAGGGGTGGGAGCTTGGCACTGGCCAAAGCGGCTGTGCCCCTCATCCGCAGTTCTTCCACCTCTGTCTCGGCCAGCTTGTTGTTCCTAATGACTGTCTCTTTGGCCATGATGACGTCTACCACAGGGATTTGTTTGGGTGTGACCACAAAATTCAATCCCTTGGCTAATATCTCTTTTTCTGTGTCCGTGAGTTCTTTGTCTGAGAGATTTTTGACCCATTTGTCATTGTGCAATGGTTGTGGGTTGTGCTCCTCCTTTCTCCTCCAACCAAGGACATCTGAGGCTGGCTGTCCATTCTGCAGTCTGTGGAATTTAACCATTTGGTGAGCCTTGCTCTTGTTATGTTAGGTAAGTTGTGCCTTTTCCATGAAACTTGAGATCTCCTGAAAGATTTCTCTGGTAACCTTAGTGGAGAGTCTCCTTCCTAGTTCTGTTTGGGCCATCAGCCTCCTGTTTGGTCCAAGAGCCTCTTGGATGAGAGGTGAAACATCTTTGACCTAGAAAGCTAGTCCAGTTGATTTTTTCTAAGTTTTTCAGCTTACTATGACTTGGATGACTGAGAATCTGCACAGACAAGAATCAAGAATCTTTATAGCACAATGGCATAGCACAATGAAATTTATTCCGGCAGCTCTCGGCTTAAAAGACAGACATATTATTTACATAACACAGAATTGTATAAGTCAATA